CTACAAACTCCTCTACCCATTTCCACCTTTCCCGCGCCCATCATCACCCCATCACCTCCTGTATCCACCAACTCCATCCCTAACAGCTCAACGATCTGGTTGGAAATGAAATTGTGGGTCGCCCCACTATCAATCAACACCACCACCTCACGGTCAGCTATCTCTCCTTTCACTTTCATAGTGTGACTCAGAGTGAATCACACTATGGAGTTCAGATAGACTTCTGCCATATCTAGGTGCAGCTTCTCCTCTTCCTCTCTTCCGATCTGCTCCCACCTCCCTCCTCGTCTTCCTCGTCTTCATAGACAAGGAGAACCTGAAGAGTTCGGTCCTTGCACCTATGCCCCGACATGTATTTCTCATCACATCTGAAGCACAACCCCTTCGTCCTCTTGTCCTGCATCTCCTTCTCTATCAACTATTTAAATTGTCCCCCATTTTTCCCTCCAGTTTTCTCTTTTGGTGCTTCCTTCAGACTCCCTGACGCTGCCCCTTTTGATGGTAGGAAAATGGTAGTTATCTTGTATGATCCTCCAGAATAGTTCCATCGAGCTCCTCTTTTTGATTTCTCCTGATCTTTCACCAACTGCGTCAGCTCCATAGCCTTCTCTAGGTTCCTTGGCTCCAACACCCTGATTGATGTTCGGATCTCCGGTTTTAGCCCCTTCATGAAGTTTCCTTCCAGGACTGACTCTGAAATGTGATCCAATCTGCTAGCCAAGTACTTGAACTTGTCCCGGTAGTCTGCTACGGTCCCCTCCTGAGTCAGAGCAAAGAATTGCTCATAGAAGTCTCCTCTGACGATGAATTAACAACAAAGATACAATTTATTCTTCAATGCGAAAGGAAGAACAACTCTCTAATCTCTGGCAACGTCAAGAGCCCAAAGTAAGAAACCCTAGATCTCAAACTTTCATTCAAAATTCAAGATAATCCTCTCTCCCTCCTATTCCCCCTAATTAACATGAAAGGAGAACTAACACTTACCTAATCTACCCTTACATTCAAATCTTTCCCCCCAAAATTTGCATTAAGCCCAGCATGGGCCCACCCAAAGTTCCGCCCCCTCCCTGCTGTTTTCTCCGCCGGGTGTAGACCTGGATCGGTCCAGGCCAGACGGGTCCAGCCGGCCCCTCCTTGGCTGGCTCCGTAACAACAACTCTTCTTCCTCCACCACTTCCTCACTCCCACCTCCCTCAATTTTCTCGTCATCACAGAATGTGAGAACCTGAAGAGTTCGGTTCTTACAACTGTGCTATGGTGTATACTTATCATCACATCTGAAACATAGCCTCTTTTCCATCTTCTCCTGTAACTCTGTCGCAGTGAGCTTTTTGAAGTTTCCCATAAATTTCTCTCCTACAGTCTTCTCCTTTGAGGTCTCTCTAAGGATACTTTGTGTCAGCCCCTTGGGTATCAAAAAGGTGGTGGTCATCTTGTACGAACATTCTGAGCTTCTACGTGTTGCCCCTTTATCCAGGTGCCTATGATCCTCCACTAATTGGGCTAGCTCCATTTCCTCTCCCAAATCACGAGGCCTCATCATTCTAACTGCCGCCCGAATATCTGGTTTGAGCTTCATAAAGTTTCCCACCAATACAGTTTTTGAAAGCCGGTCCGGTCAGTTGGCAATGTGCTCAAACCTCTTATAGTACTCCACCACGGTCTCCTCCTGCATCAGAGCGAAGAATTGCTCATAGAAGTCCCCTCCCTTATTGGTTTGGAAACGCTCCAACAAGTAGACCTTAAACTCCCTCCAGGTCCGTGTGGGCCAGCTCATATCCATCCATTAGTACCATGTGAACGCTTTCCCCTCCAAGCACAGCTTGGCCGTTGTCAACTCATTGACGACAAAGTGCCTTTCCACTATGTAGTTCCACCAATATGCATTTTCTCTAAAACAGGCATCTTCAGCTTCCACGCCCTCGGATCTCCTTTCCCCTTGTTTCCTCCATGACCTCTAGGGGTGTTAAAATGGGATTTCAAGTATGATACGGGAACCCAAAATTGACCTGGGACCAAACGAGCTGTGACTCGAACCCGGCCTTGTTTTGTAAACAGGTTAGGAATTCGAACCTAGACTCGGCTCGTCAGATTACTGGGTTGACCCGACCCGACCGAAGAACCCAGAACACAACGGGCGTGAGCAAGTTCAGCATGCGCAGGCGCGTGTGTGGGTTTAGGTGCTAAGTTCGGACGTGAGTGAGGTTCGGATGCAGATTTCGTGGGAATGCGAGCGGGGGATTGCACTGTGGTGTTGGTGCGAGCCTGTGGGGTGCATATTCTGGACGTGAGTGGGGGTTCGTGCTGCGATGCTGGTGCTGGGTGCGAAGTTCGAGTGCGAGGCATGATCGCACTGGCTACATGCACGTTTCCGGGTAAACCCGGTTGATTTTGATTTTTCGTGTCAACTCGGACCTTACCCAATTTTATAAACAGGTTGAAAAATGAAACTCGAACCCAGTCCCTATAGCAAATGGGTTGACTAGAACCTGAATTTTTTTTAGTCTGAGTCGGGTCGGGTATCGGGTCAGGTCAAATATTGACACTCCTAATAACCTCCCATTCCCCAAGGGAGTGGTCCCCCCAAGTGTCCTGATTATCCCTTCTATGCTCGTGCTCAAATCCTTTATCAAAATCCCCTCTCCTCCTTTCAAATTCAGCACACCTCCGAGCCCTCTCCTTTCAAATTCAGCTCCCCTCCACTCATACCCAATCCACTCATGCCTCTGCTCATACCCTCTAACTCTCTCCTCCCTAGGAATAGGCTCTAGGGGCATTCTCTCTTCTCTCTCAAAAATCTCCACCTCCTAATATTCCCCTCTCCTTATCGGAGTAGGTTTTCCCCCACTCCCTTGACAGGTGGCTCCCATCACCTCTGACGATGCCATTTTGGTTTAGATCTCGAGCATCTTCCTCATCATCTCCTCCATGATGGCAAACTTCACATTGATTTTCTCATGGACAGTTGAAATTTGATTTTCGAAATTTGAAAATTTTTCTTTGAAATCAGATTTCAATTATTCGATCTCCCCTTCCAACACCTCTACATTTCTTCCTGTCATAGGTACCCGGATCTTGGGTTTGATACCAATTTGATACGTCGTAGAAGTAAAAACAACAAATAAAAGAAAAAAAAAACATAGGAACATCAAGATAAGGTTAATCCTAGATTGTGCTAGGAACTTACTGCAGCACTGGGAAAATAAAAACTAGCAATAACTTAAACTAAATCCTATACAACTCTCTCTTTAACAGCCCTAGAACACAATAACATAAATAGAATATTTCTAATAAGCACAAACAAAATTTAGAAAACCTTCCTAAATAATTAGACCCTTCCTAATTAGCCTAAAACTACATCTACCTTGGATCCAGATGTCTGCATCTCGTGATACCATATGAAAACCTAGAAAAAAAAATAGGACGATCAACTTTTTTTCTCTTTCTATGCACATAATGACACAAAAGAGGGATGCAAAGAATGGTTGATTCAATTTTCTTAGCTTTGCATTCATCTCAAGGTTGTGACACATATCACTTTCTCTCATAGGTTGATATTATACCAAACCCCACTTGTTAAAAAGGACACATGATTAAGGAGAATGGTTGATAACCCATACAATCCTAGGCTCCTAGTTGCCGACACATGAGCAATTTTCTTAGCTTTATATTACTCACAAGATTGCAGCCCATATCGCTTGCACTGGTATGTTGATAATATACCAAATCCCACTTAAAAAAAAGGGCACATGATTTAGAAAAATGTTTTTTTTAAAGATCCAAGTATAAAAATTGTAGTATATAAAACATTATATTGATATGAAATGTATAGAAATGTATAGTGAGAAAATTATAATAGGAATATTATTTATTTTGATCTTTATGATATATTTATCATCAATAGAGTATAATACAGTTAAGCTATAGAATATAGTTGGCTTACAACCCTTGCGGAAGTTTAGAAGGCTTGTTTGATAGTGTAGGGTAAGAAATTAATTCATTAGCCTTGCAATGTTACTTTTACAAAGAAAGTTTTGCTCTACAAACCTGTGCGGACATCTCTCTTTACTATAAGTGGAGTTGGTTGATAGTTATTTCTCCATAAAAAAGGGAATTCAGTATGATCATGATTTTTATCTTCCACATTATTCATTGTAAAGTGAAAATGTTTAAATTTATTATTTTGTGAAGCAGGCGTAGACTAAAGCATTTCTACAAGTGTTATAATTGAGATCTGATTGTGAAAGCTTACAACTTCAACCTCAATAACAAATCTCCAAACTATTATTGCATTACAAAAATTCAAGACTTGGCATTGGCCTGTTGCAACTAGGATCGACTCTTGAGACAAATCAATGTGGGAGCGAATCTTTCTTCTGCACTTTATTTTTGAGTTCTAGGTGCCTACCTTCTGTTCTTCTCCTCGAGTTGAGTGGCTTAAGAGGTCTCCTATAATTTTGACCTACAGTATGTTCTCTATGATTTTCTTTGTTGGGTTCCTTGGATCTTTAGAAAAGGTGTTGAGTTTTCCATGTTTTACCTATTGATTGTAGCTCGTTTAGGCTTCCCCATAAGAGGTACCAAAAAACTGACACAATAGGTCTATGTTTTGAACTTTAGGCTTTACATGTTGATAAATTAGATTTTTTTTTTTATACATGTTGATAAATTAGTTGGTATTAAAGTTAACTTATTGCTTGGGTGAACAGGACTGGATTATTATTGTATTTTCTTTTTGTAGATTTAGATTATGGTCATAATTTGAAAATTCCTGCTTGGAACTGTCTACATCCTCCTCCAAGGATCATTGAAACTTTATACATCTTCTATAGCCCCTTGTCCTAAAAAATTCGAATGTAGGAAGTGACATTGTCATTGAAACCCAATATTCATGTTTCCTTCATTGCATGCTGATGATATTAGTCTCATTATGTAAATGCTCTCTTTGGCAGTAAATTCTTTTATTTCTTGACTGAAAATATATCCCATCATGATAGGGTGTGGAGCTTGGTCTGGAATCATTCAAGAAAATGTCAACAGAATATGCAAAAGCAAAGGAGGAAGCTATTAAAGGTATCCTATTAAGCTATATCCTTCTCCTCACTTGTATTTTGACACTTTTTTTTTCTCTGACAATGATGCTATGATGAACGCTTGAAGTTTTAAATCTTCCATTTTAAGAAATATTATGTTATTGTAGCTTATTATGAGATATGGATTTATACTTTAGACCTCGTATTCAGCCATCCGTAGAATAATGTCAATTAACTAAATGAACCCTTGTGGTGGCGTTAAGTAACCTTGGTATTCAATTGATCTATTTATCGGTTATGTTTATGTTTATTTTCTTGGGACTTCGAAGTCATTTCATTAATTTTCATGATTATTTGAATTATTTTATGTCATTTGGACTGATGATCTTTTTTTTTTGTCAAAATCATTTGCTCTTTGCTATTAGATTTATTACTTTGTTATTGAGGACCCTACATTTTAAACAGGAATCCTTATGACATTGTGATATTAATTCATCTTCTTTTAGAGTGAAGGGAAGCCTTTTCGATACATGTGCTATTTTTGATCCACTTGAATCCCTTGATGTGATGCTTTTGTTGAAGTCTAAGACTTGAGATGTAGTACTACTTTAAATTTGTTTCAGAGTGAAAATTCCTATACCAATTATATTGGATTTTCTTATCTAATGCCTTAAGTTTAGATATTTGGAATTTTTTGTTGACCTAAATAGTAAAATAAAATAAAATAAAAATCTCTTACTTGTTGCACATTTGACTACCGAGCCCACATCAAGCCAATTCCCGCCACCATACTTTTAGTACCCTTGCCACAACCTCTCCATCTTTTTTCAAATCGATTGCAACCCTTCTATGCTTCACACTCTATCCCTCGTTTTGCCACTCTCGCTTCTTGACCCTAGCCAAATTACACACCAAAAAAAAGGTTATTGATGAAGGCCCAGGAGCACTCGTCCGTGTCTGTCACCTTTGACATCATTGGCATCACCCCTACTTCCTCTCTCTTCTTCCTCTATTTCCTCTCTCTCAGTTCTCTCTCTTTCGCTTTCTTTCTCTCTCAATTTCCCACTTTTCTCTCCCTCTCTTCCTCTTTCTTTCTCTCTCTCTCTCTGCCTTTCTCACTCTCTTTTTTTCTCTCATTGTCTCTCCTCTACCAATCTTTCTTTCTCTAAAAAGAGAAAAAAAAGAGGAATTAAAAAAGATAAAAATATATGTATTTGCCTCACCCTATCATTTTTGTCAGAACTACTTGTGCGAAGATTTAAATTTGTAAATTTTTAAAATCTATGATATATTGAGTGTGATGCATTCGACACAGCAAGCATAACTCGTGCGCATTTTTCTTAACATGAATCATTTTATGACTTTTGGACTTTTGGGCCTTTTTTGGTCAAAATCATTTGTTCTTTGCTATTATATTTATTACTTTGTTTTTGAGGACCCTACATTTTAAATAGGGATCCTTATGATGAAGATTATGATATTAATTGATGTTTTTTAGAAGAGCAGCCATTTCGATATATGTGATATTTTTGATCCACTTGAATTCATTCTAGGATGTGATGCTTTTGTTGAAGTCTAAGACTTGAGATGTAGTGCTGACTTAAATTTGTTTCAGATTGAAAATTCTTGCGCGATGTGAAAATTCCTATGCCAATTATATTGGATTTTCTCATCTAATGCCTTTAGTTTTAGATGTTTGGAATTTTATGTTGATCTAAATAAAATAAAATAAAATAAAAATCCCTTACCTGTCGAACGTCTGCCTACTGAGCCCACATCAAGTCCATTCCTGCCACCATACTTTTCCCACCCTTGCGAAACTCGTCCGTTTTTGTCACCTTTGACATTATTGCCATCGCCTCTGCTTCCTCTCTCTCTATTCTTCTTCTATTTCCTCTCTCTTCTTCCTCTCTCAATTCTCTCTCTCTCTCACACACACACATTCCCACTACTTTCCCACCTTTCTCTCCATCTCTTCCTCTTTCTTTCACTCTCTTTCTCTGCCTCTCTCATGTTCTTTTTTTTCTCTCACACTGTCTCTCCTCTACCTCTCTCTCTCTTTAAAAAGAGAAAAAAAGGAATAAAAAAGAGAAAAATGTGTGTATTCGTCTCACTCAATCATTTTTTACTACTTGCGTGAAGATATAAATTTGTAAATTTTTAAAATTTACAAAATATCGAGTGTGATGCATTCGACGTGATGTGTATAACTTGTACGCATTTTTCTTAGCATGTTTGGTGATACTTATAGTTGACATTCTTGATGCGATGGATAAGCAACATGCACATGTTTTTCTAGCATGAGGGAGAAAATTCATATATAAGTATCTATATGCGTCTTTCTTCAGGCGCCATTTTGATTTGATTATATCCCGACGATCCATTCATAAATGAAAATATATCATAGTTAGACGTATTGTTAACCAGCAATTCTGATATTGGAAGTGAAAAGTCGTCTTTTGGACAGGTCTTATTAAGGTCTCAAAAATCGATGCATATGTGAAATTGACCATTTTTCTTCTTTACTGGGACAATATTGGCTATCCAATCAGTATATTTTTCTTCTTGAATGAAACCTGCATCGATTAGCTTCTTGGTTTCTGCAATCTCCAACCTCATTCTCCTTGAAACTTGCTTAACAGGTACTGCACTTGGTTTGATTACTGATTTGTGAACAGCCATATCAGGAGATAAGCCTGTCATTTCAACTTATGTTCGAGCTAAGCAGTCCCTGAATTCATAGAGAAGTTTTTTTTTTTTTAATTTCTTATACTTGGTCTTATTGGTAGAACGTCACTAATGAAGGTCGGGTGAGGATCTTCCTCAGTCCGAGTAGATATAGTTGAAAAGCGATGGGATTTCTTAGAGGATTATTCAAGATGTCGACCATCGAGAACATTGTCTATAGGGGTCATCTTTGGGATCCACTTTTGATGAATTTCTTTAATGGTGGATTTCTAGGAGTACACACTAGATGTCACACCATTCTTTTAAATATATTTTTCTAGAGATATTGGTATCTATATTTATTGTCCCTTATGTTGGCACCTTTCGGCAGTGGATTTTTGGATATGCATCCAAGTGTCGTATCCCGATGCCACCTATAGATCTTAACTCTTTCTTTGCTCTACTATCATAATGGATGATTGCTTTTACCTCTATCGAGGTCATTCATAACGACTTTTTAGACGGAGGGACCAAGTGTCACGTCTTGTTGTTCACCATATAGAGCTCAGTATTATCATTATTATTTTTGTTGCTACCTTAGCATTTAGATGACTAGCCAAAGATTGAAAGAGAAACCAATCCCCAGCGGAGTCGCCAGAAATCTGTGGGCTCAAAAAATTCCATTTTATTTTGTGTGATTTCCCGGCCTCTCTGCGCCATCCGTTTATTATTATTTTTTTAAGTGTTTGTGTGATAATGACGACAGAGAGTTTTAACGAGATTAGGTTCCGGGGGAATTTTCAAAAGGCAGATTTGGTTTTAGATAAGACACTACCCAAAGATTTCGCCCTCATTTTGTGAGGACTTTATGATCTGAATTCTGGTTTCCTATAGGCGCAAGCCCCTATAGTTAATTATCCCTCCCAATAATAGGAGAGAACTTTCGGTTAAGACTAGTCGTTAAGGAGGTCAAATTGCAATAGTTTTAGGGTTTGAGTCTTGGATTTAAATTTTGAAGTTTGGAATTTGGAGTTTATCACCATAAACTTAAAACTGGTGGGGGGGGAGGGGGGAGTGAAGACGAGCCTGATCAAGATCTCATGGTTCCGTCGTCCCGGTTGTCATGATCACTGGTCTACTTAGTTAGAGGAGGTAGTTGACCCAACCTAACATAAGGTACCTTATTTGCAGCCATGAGTTGCTTCGTCCAAGAATACTTTGTAGACCTGGGTTGATATTTATCTAAGGGGATAGATCTGAATCCACCTTAGCTGACAGAAGGCTTTGTGCCTATCAGATATACCATATGATTCATAACTCAAGGTGAAGCCTTTAGGGAACATACAGACTTTGGTCGTGATCGTAATATAATGGTGCCATTTTGCGATAAAACCACCCGATCAGATGGTATATGCCACGTCCCTATCGGCAAGAGACTATTTGAGAATGAATCGTAGTGATACACCCGACACACATTTGCTCTTTGTGAGCTGAGGTTAATTTCAAATTTATCACCCTTGATAAACAGTTGCGGAAGATGGATGTGTTTTAGTTTTAAGTTTTTAGGTGATATATTTCATTTTAAGAACTTGGACTTTTGTTTGATTTGAGATTTGTCCCCTCTGGTTGAGATTTTCTGTCAACGCGGCCAGCATCGGGGTGACATTAAGGTCACTTATATTTTTATAGGATTTTGGGAGGCGTTTTGCAATTCAAGTCGTGTCGACTCCAGTCCTTTTGAGGAGGAGGATGCAACTTGAATATTAGACCCGCGTAACATTCTTGAATCGTTGGATTTGAGACTTATATGTAACGATTGGAGCACATGCGGGTTGTAGCATTTGACCCTGCGCAACATTCTCGGTCATTGGTGTTTATGCTTTTAACATGTTGACCGGAGCACATGCATGGTGTATTTAGTTTAAGGGATCATGTTTTATACATAAGGGGCATTTTAAAATATTTAAATATGATCCATTTAATCAAGTGATTTCATTTAGAAAAATGCCCGATATTTCATTTAAGGACCTACGAACGTCTTATGTCCGCTTGTAAACATGTTGCGGATCCGGTGGCATCGAATATTGTTTGCTACTTCTTGCAGATAAGATACTGTGCATTGACGAATATCCCATTGTTGCTCATGGATGCTTACATTTATTACAGGCTTGTTGCTTTTGTTTGAAGCAGTGTGTTGTACTCGTTGCAATCTTCTTCTTCATCCTTGCAGAAGATTCACGTAGAGTGCGATATTTATTACAAAGGTCCCATACACACTTGAAGGTGACATTTATTCTTAACATATTAATTGACATTACATGCATATAAATTTAGTGTATTTACTTACATGTTAATATTAACTGTCAAATGAGTTGTATTCATTACTAACTTCTTTATGTGTGTTAACTAGTGAGTTCTCGCATTCATTACATATTGATCTTGTGTTTGTAGGAGACTATCAAATGTATGCTAGGAAACTATCGAATATATTTCAAGGATATCTTGTTGCCCATAGGTGATTGCTTATGTGATAATGGATAATATTGTTATCTGTCACTAAAGCTATATGACCCTTTTTTCTCTATCATCGCAACTTAAGTTACTTGTAATAGATGTTCTTGTAAGTTTGGTTTGAATACTTGATTCAATAGTAATTCTCATATTTCCTTCATCTTGTGCAAATCTACATATCAATGTTAAGTCAACTTCTCTTTGACATAGAACTTTCTAAGATAGCATTGAAAGTTTTAGAGAAGTGTGGAATGGAATAATTGTACTAGCATTTGAATATTAACTTTTTAAAATGCTGGATATGCACCTATTGACCTTCAAATCAACATAAGTATCTCTATGTTGATTAACATATGTAGTTTTTGAAGTATAATACCCATTATCACTCATCGATATAAGGTTAAAAATGTTTACAAGCTTTCTAAAGTTACTTGTGTAATTAATATCATTTATGATTTAATAATGGCTCAAATAACTTTGCCATTTCTTTAAGTGCAAGACCTTGATGAAAGCTCAATTTGAATATATCACATATCAAGTCAATTTCAAATCAAGTTCAGATTTAGTCCAGATCATTTTCCTTATTTTTAAATTGATTAAAAATCATAAAATTTCTTTTTTTAATCAATTAAATGAGGGTCATTTAAGCATTTTTCAATATTCACAAAAATTTGCCTAAGTCCTGAGTTTTTGAGTAAATTTCGGCAGCCTTCCGGCGTCCGCTTCCCTGCGCCGGGAGGTAATGGAGTGCTCAACTTGGCCGGATCAAATCGACGGCGAGGAAATTTGGGAGTGCGAATCGATCCCATAAAAGGTCTTCAAGTCTTCTAATGTGCTCAACCTGCTGATTTAAGCAATTTAATTTAATTTTAAAAATATTTTTGGTCCCCTCGAAAATTCGGTAGCTTTTCGGTGCCCCCTCCTCGTGAGGGGAGGTTGGGGAGGGCACTTGCCCTTTGGCTCGACTCGGCCGGAGCGAATCAATGGCGAGGAGATTGGAAAAGTAGTGTCTGCGCTCCATCGGCTAGATTAACTCGGCGGCCAAGGGCTTCAGGGGACCGTATCAACCCCGGGACTTCCTTTAAGTCTTCAATTTGCTTTCGTACCCGTTTTAAATCCTTGCTTTTTTTTAAATAATATATATATTATAATATAAAATATTTATTATAATATAACATAATATATGTTATAATATTATAATATACAAGGTTGTGAAAACCGGACCGGACAACGACCGGTCCGGTTTTCAAAACAGTGATAATATATAATATATATATCATAATATTATATATATTATATACTTATAACATAATATATAATATATAGGGGTTTTTACATACATACCACAATATTATTATTACTTTACATATCTCACACCTCAAATATTAATATTACAATTATACCACTCAAATCTTAAGTTTACCTCAAATCTACCACTCCCTCTCCCGCACAGCTCACGACGTCAACGGCGCCACCATCGGCTCCGGCCTCGCCTCTATCATCCTCTTTGAAACCAACATCCTCGCCAAAGGAGGTGGAAGTAGCAAGAACTGCATTTAAGAATGACTCGTTGACGATTGAGAATAGGATCAAGGACTGTAGGTCTTATCCTCTTTACAGGTTTGTGAGGGACGTTGGTACTGATTTTCTAAGTGGTGAGAAGACTGTTTCACCGGGGGAATAATTTGATAAGCTTTTTGACGCGATTTGCAAGTGGAGGATGATCGAACCACTGCTCGAGTGCATGAAGGAGTGGAATGAATCTCCTAAGTTTACCTCGAGCAAACCATGGCAGAAAATGAAGCATTTTTTAAAATAAAAAAATTACTCTTTCGCACATTCCTTCTTGCTTATGATTATATTTGCAGTCTTTGTTGTTTTGTTGCAAAGTTCAAAGCTATAATCCAACCATAGAGGCGACGGCCGGAGCTGTAGACGGTGCCGTTGACGTCGTGAGCTGTGCAGGAGACGGAGTGGCAGATTTGGGGTAAATTTAGGATTTGGGTGGTATTACTGTAATATTAATATTTGAGATGTTAGATATGTAAAATAACAATAATATAGTGGTATGTATGTAAATCTCCCTAATATATATTATATATATACAATATATAACAGAGAGAGGGAGGGGATCAGGAAAAACCTGATCGGGCGGCTCAGACAAGGATCGGAGGCACGCATGGAGGGGCTCGGGTCGGCGTTGGCGTGTAGATCGTTGGCGGAGGCAGGTCGGCCGGAGGTAGGTTGACAGGAGGTCAATCTCCGCGGGTTCGACCTTTGGAGATGGCGTAGTTGGTCGGCTAGGGCACAATCACTGAAGGTCGGCCTTGTTCCGTTGAAGCAGGTGGAGGCAGGAGTCGTCCGGCCGTGCGAAAGGATGAACAAGGGCTCAGGTAAGGTCTTCAATCTCCTCTCTGTCAGCTTTCAAAACTACCTCCTTCTCTTCTCTATATGCCTGCGATTTTGTGCGTGTGAGAGCCGAATGAGAGGAGCGTTCTTTTTATGTCGTGAGTGGGGCGGTTGTACAATCGTGGGGAGCAGTTATCGTGGGATCGTGGGCTCGCGTGATTCCTCCATGTGGACTGGTCAACAGTTATAGATCAACAAAACTTACAATGTGAACAATATGAATGCTTGAAATGCGAGGTACATCGTGATGAACAAAGACAAGACTTGAATTTGTTATGAATTCAATGGCTCGGCAACATAAATTTCCCTTTGCTACTAGGACTCTCCTGAATACTCAAAGAACACACTCAATGAATTTAGCTGGAATGAAAATGAATTCTAGTGAGCCTTTATTTATAGATAGAAGAGTGAATCCCAATGGGGCCCACTTGAATAATACTTAACAAGGGGAAGAATTGATTGAGTATTTCATTCTAACATTTATTTTGTATTCATATAATTTTAGAAAAGCTTTTAATAGGAATCAAGCAAAATCATGGAATATTGATTGCAAAATAATTATAGTAGTCCACACATTGATGAGGTGTCAGAATAATTATTATAATAGTCCGCATATTGATAAGATAATACTAATAATCTCTCTGATCATTGAGGTGGCATTGAAGTGAATAAGGAAGGTGGACTGTTGGGCTTGATGGAATGTTGATGGAGCCGGATTTGGTGAAGATTGATTTTCTATAAAACCAAACATTTTACATTATTAGTAAGAAAATGTAACTTAAAGTCATCAAGAAAATAATGAACCAGATGGCTCATATGTGTCTTGTTTAGGATTCTAACATTAGAGCTTCCTTAGGTTAGTTTGAATCCTAATATAATCCTTCACATGTTTTTATTTCCTCTTAATAAATTTTTTTTCCAAAGAGAGAGATTGGTGTAGTACAATTTTATTTGGAGAGAGTACATTTTTTTCCAATCACATGCTATGATTTTGATCTAGTAGACTGTGCCTTTGATGAACAAAGTTGATAGTGGTAAAAGTTGAATTTTGCATGAAAGTGTACCTGGTACGTTGCACCGATACGGATACGGAGACTGTTCCATCATTGTACCATCATTGTTAGCATAGTAGCCTTGTCTTAAATTTTCATATAAATTGCAACTCCTAGCTCTCTCTTTGAATACATCTTCATATTTTTTAAGCTTGGATTTCTCACCTCAGCCATTAGTTTTTGTATCCAAAAATCTTTTAGCGTTGCTCATGTTAACATTCTCACCTCAGCCATCAGTTTTTTTTCCCTCTTTTCTTTGGTATGAAATTGAAATCCTTATATTTTTAGGAGACCCCAAAAAGTTTTTGTGAAACTATTGTTATTGATTTTTATTTACAACCTACCAGATAATAGAGTTAGTAAACTTCATTCTTTTCAAAAACATTATTTCAATTTCAAGCAACCAAGTGAGGCCTAATAAAGGATGAATTGTGATAGCATGGTCTTTTTGTCATTCAACTAGAAATAAGGCATAGAAGTCCAATTTACCTTTCACTAAAAATTTGTAAACTTCGAATAGTAGATAGACGATGACAGCTAATGATCATGCTGCTTTTTGCACCTTAATAGTTTGGGAAGGCTGCAATTTTTTGTAATAGGGCTTTTCCCTCAAAATAAGTAATGAAACAACTTTCTTATAGTTATCTTACCCTACAAATCTAATTTAGGAAAATTCATTCTAAGCTTAGAAGTTTCTAAAAAGCAACCAGAAAAATAGGGTGAAATAGAAGTGTGATACTAGTCGGTAAATTAAAGGCGTGAAAAATTTTTCCCAAATGCACCCGCACCCTTATGCTCTTAAAGATGCTTCATGTACGAAGCATTATGGTGATATTGGGCTTGTATAATTATGCTATTTCGTTGATAGCTTCTTAATCATATAACTTTCGTAACCTTTGATTTAAGAAATCTCTAATGTTTGATGACCTATCTTGGCACATACACAGTTGTATATTTTATGTTTATAGCCCTCATACTAATTTTACGTTATGCTATTACTCTGCAACTTTCTATTATTCCTGGTCACCTGTTATCAACAGAAGCTAGCAATTCTGTGGGCATGGAGGACCTAAAACACATAGCAGAAAACAGGAGGCTGGCAAGTGAAATGGTAGAGAACCTGGTGGAAGAATGGGATTCCCAGAAGGAATCATTTTACAAGCAGACTGGTATTAGTAATTGCCGTGAATTGGCGCTGGCTGATGTTGAGGGATTTGCTGAGGTGGAACGCCTGTTAGATGAATGAAGAGCATCTCCCAGCATTTCAGGTTCTTAAGCCATTCTCTGCTCAAAATTTGAAGTTTCAGCTAACTTTGTATTTCATATAAATAATAGGGCTTTTAACTGCTTGAAGAGTTTGATGGTCCATGGAGGAAGTAGTTTCACTTGCATGCTCATAATCTAATTTTTTATTGAGATTTTTTTAAAAATTGAAAATTTGTGTAGAGAATCTCAAATTTGATACAGGCATGATTATGACTTCGTTTGGGACGGCTTTTTAACTGTTTTTTAAAATAGTTTTTTAGTAAAAAAAAATAATTTTGAACTAAAAAACTGTTTCAAGAAGTTGTAAAAAGGCCGTCCTAAACGAAGCCTAAATCTCAAAATCTTAGGGACAACATTTTCCAATGTCTTTACCATGTTAGCTGTTACTCACAAGAGATCAGTTTTCATGTTTATGAAATAATTTGTTCTTAAAAGATTAAAGTTTTAATTGATTGGTACTGGCGAAGATGCTCTTGCAAGATTGGGATTTGCATAAATGAATGCTACACTATTTGTTTAGATTATGCTATTTAAGCTGAATTCAATTTGGCTAAATAAATTGCAATTGAGGCCACTTATTTTAAAATGATGAATTTATTTGTTTTTTATTATCTAAGTTGATGATGTTGAAAATTCATTTCATCTATAAACTGTATAAACACCATATTTAGAAATCATTTCTTCTAAAATCAGAAATCATTTTAAAAAAATGATGAATTTATCGGATGTCAGTATTAAATTCCATTACAACTACACGAGTATAAAGATATCTTTCAATCTCAGATCTTTTATACATGTAGCTCTTCCTTCATTTGGCAATGCCGACAATCGTCAATTCCAGCCAATATAGAAGCAACATCGTTTTTTACAGGATTCATCATCAGAAGGCAGGGATCGTGATGAAGAAGAGGAGGGAAAACCAGGGAGAAACAATTCTGCATATGCACGTCAGAAGAAGGTTTCTCTTCTTTGTATTCAATCCGTAGAAAGAGTTGAACTTAGAATTCTGTTGACCTTTCTCTCCTACTCAGAACTCCTGAGGCGCTTAAAGGTTTTTCAAAGTAGTAAAAAAGGCGTCTTTACATTCATACAAGGGGTACTTAAAGACCCTTGGAGCTACAAGACATGAAATGGCTGCTTGGTCAAGATGGTTTTGGTTGCTTCTTCTTATAAGCACTTCGATTGTGCTGCCTCCATGACATCTCCAGATTGATAGAGGACAAAGAAGAAAGCTTGTTTACACTGATCATTGTGAAGATGCGAGGATAAAATAGGATTCAATATTACCATACTTTCCTCAAGTAGCATTAGGTCATATTCTAAAGAGGGTAATGACAAAATCTTTAGTTCATCAGTTAGTTTAGAATTCTACATTATCCTTGAGTAGCATGATGACCTTGTTAGATCGGGTCCCTCCTGGATCAGTCATGTCAGTCCTTTCTTGGACCGGCTCTTGGGGGGCTGATTTGGAGGGGATTTATTAAATATTTCCTAATTGAAGTGGGCAGATTTGGGGCTGATTTGGAGGTGATTAATTAATAAATGTTTTCTAATTGAAGATGACAGATTTAGGGGCTGATTTGGAGGGAATTAATTAGGATATGTTTCCTAATTAAAGATGGCAGATTTGGGGCTGATTTTAGAGGGAAATAATTAAGGAAATATGACATATTTGAGAAGGAATTGGGGGAGGGCTGTTTAGGCATTTATTATTTATTGGATGCTTTAAGTAGGGTGTTTTTCCTAGGTTTTGAAGGTTTTGTTTGCTGAATTTAGTTTATTCTTAGACAATTTTAAGATTTCTTTAGTGTGCCCATGGTTATAAAAGAACAGGATTTGATCGAGCAGTTGAATCAATCAATTTATGAGTTAGTCTTCAAATCGGTTCAGTCTATTTAGAAAAACCAAATTTGCAAGGAACCAAAATCAACCCATAAAAATTGGTGGTTAAAATGCTCAACCCCTAAACTAAGAGCGGTTGAATTGGATTGATTAGCAATTGCATTAGAGAGATAATGTTGGAATGTAATATTTTTTCAATTATATCTCATATATTATCACCTATCATTAATATTAGAAATACTATATTATTTAAATCATCTAATTTAATATCTATAATATGTTCATCCTCACTGTTGAACCTCTAACTAAGGTTTTATTTGGAATGACTTTCTTACTGTTTCTTAAAGCAGCTTTTTAGTACAAAATTAATAATTTTTCTATTAAAAAGCTGCTTTAAGAAGCAGTAAAAAAGCAGTCCCAAGCAAAGCCTAAATCTTAGTTGAACCTTTGAATCTTCAGATCTGATTCTAAAATCCTCGAGTGAACCACTTAACAACTCATTTAACTTATCTTGCATCCCCTAATTAGAAGTCATTATTCACCACCCTCCCAAATTGTGGCTGCATTATTAGCCTTTTTTTACTCTGGTCACATTCCAGTGGTGCTATTCTACTAGCAGCAAAACTTGACCGACAAAGTCATTAATGTCAAATATCCAACCTGTTTGTCTTTGACCTGTCATTGGTGTCTTTCCTTGAAGCTGTAATGGACCACGAAGGTCTGCTGCCTTTTTTATTAAAACAGATACTGCGAAGATCTAACATCTTTATAAAATTCAAAGAAAATTTGAATACGGAAACTCATCCAAAAATTCTTCTTTCAAGTCCTACCAGTTTAAATAGGCTGCGGCGGCTCATCTCCTACCCAGCAGCCTAAAATCTCTTTCTCTTGTTTTCTGGTCTGACAGAATAAAGAAGAATGAAGGGGAGAAATCTTCTAACACTTTTCCTCTGGCTCATGGCTCTTCTACTCTTCATCACAACAAGCACAGGAGCTCTGGCTCATGTTAAGGAACATGAGAACCTTGTTCACCCCCAAGGTATGTTTCCTTACAGAAAATTTTTGGATAAGAATATTCTGATTGCAAAATCTTTAAATTATTGAATTTATTTTGAAATTTTTGTAATAAATACTTTGATTGATCACTCATATATTGCACTAATTTCATCGATAATCCAACGGTTATGATAGTTTCAAATTTTTCTTTGTTTTGGAAGATAATGAAATGGAGTAAAAATCTTTTATAGTGGGCTTACAAAGCTTACTTTTATCTGCTTGTTTCATTGAAGGTTGCAGGTGTTGCTGGTTCATTTTAAGGCCAACGATTAGGTGTGGCAAGGTGGTTTGTGCTCAGGAATCCTGCTAAGGTCTGCAAATTTTAGTTGAGCAAAGTCAGAATAAATGGAAATGAGCCATTCTGGAGTGCTAATAAATGTGGAGTTATTGAAAAAGTTTATGTACTTTATTTCATAGAAAAATGAAAGATTTCTGCTTTCAAACATATTTTATCATTTGCTGAGTTTTGATATCATTTTTTAAAGTAAGAGAATGATTGATGAAGAGAGAAATTTTAAATAATTGAAATGAAGTTAGAGGCTCTGATTTGTGATGGAATATTTTAAGGCTTGTCGGCTTATGTGGACATAATCAAAGGCCTGAAAGGTAGGAACCGACTATGGATGTTCTTTGAAACATGCATTGAAATTGGTAATCACCTACCACCATGATTTTCTGACCTAAGGCTTCATTTGGAATGATTTTTTTATTATTTTATATAGTCATTTTTTAACACAAATATTTTTTATTAATAGAAAAAAAAATGGTCTAAAATTATCCCAAATGAAGTTAAAATTTTGGGATAGTTTTGTATTGTTTAAGGTAAATTTTTAGTTCAAGAAATTTTTGTATTAGAAAATTATTTTAGAAAATAGCAAGAAAGTTATTTCAAATGAAGCTTAAATTATACTTATTTTAATTTTAGGGAGATGGTCTGACTTTAGTGATATTTCAAGATTAGATTTATGTTTTGTTTGGGATGATTTTTTTACTGCTTCTTAAAATGATTTATGACGTTGGAAGAAAGAATACTTTTCGAAACATTTTATATGTGAACTCATACGTGTTTGTATAGGTAATTCACGAATATGCCATCACGTCTAAAGGATTCACCTTCACAAACATGCTCTATAGACGAGGCCCTGAGAACTCGCCCAACATAATCGCCTATGAGGACTCACATTGAAACCAATCATCTTAATACGAGCAAAGATGCATGTGGGGGCCAATCAGCTAGGCCTCGCGTCTATAATAACATGTAATTAAACTTATCATTATATATTTTTTTACTTTTTTAGGATGTATCCTTTCTTATAGCCCTTACAATCTTATAAATAAATGGTGTAGAGACATCTTTTGGATATCTTTTAATACTCAGTGACTCTCCATATCTTTTGGCATTTCTTTTCCTCTCTACATTTGATACCTATTACTTATATGATAAATAGAATCCTCACTCTCCATACTCAAATCCAATCTGATTCCCTAGCTCACACTCAGGCTTCTTTTGGGATGATTTTTTTACTACTTCTTAAAGCAACTTTCTCGTAAAAAATTTTAAAATTTGTACTAAAAAACTACTTTAAGAAATAATAACAAAATTGTCTCAAACGAAGCCTTAGAGGGTTACCTATTACTAATATTAGACATCATCCGAAAATAATTAGATTCAATACTATATGTGATTAGTGTGAACTCATGACATGTTGAAAAGATAACTCAACAAATGGTTTATATATGTTATAGTTTGGATGTTCAATTTAATTATGTCAAATTTTATATCTTATAATTTGCTAGAGAAATTGTTGAAATTAGCATGCCCTCTAGTGACCGTTAGAATTGAAGAAAATTTGTATGCTTTATGCCTTTTTAGATCCATATGATGATGGAAAAATTATTCTATGCGGACGACCGACAACATATAGAGATCAATCAGAATGCGCCACATCATTTTTTTGCTCGGTACCGCTGTGTACTAGGTGATGTGGCGCATTTTGATTAGTCTCTAGACTATCCGGTGTTCATACAAAATAATTTCTCTGATGATGAGTCCTCTTAAAGAATTTTGAATGGAATGGTCTTTATTTTTCTTCGTGCAATTTAT